TTTCTATCAACAGTTATTTTAATGGTAGCCTGGAAACAGAATGAAACCTATTTTCTTTCATTTATTCACTAATAAGCACTTATTAATCAGCAAATACCTTTCAGATTGAGAAGATACAACAAGGTACAAGATCACAAGATGACTCTCATGCATCTTAGAGTATTACTAGCAAAAGAAGAATTAGCAATTATAATGAGGAGAGATAAATGTTCCAATGACAGAGGAAATATAGACTGTTATACAACCTGTAGAAGAACTTGTAAGGGCAATTAGGAAACATTCAAAGATTTACAGGACAGTAACTTGATCACATATTCATTTTAGCTTGACAGCAATGAGTAAACTGGTTTGATAGGTGAAAAGACTGTAAGTAAGAAGACAATTTACAAAGTTACTTGAGTAAAATGGACCATCACTGTTGTAGGAACAGTTGGAAGAAGAGATAGATATATGCATATCTGAAAAGTATTTAGGAGCAAGAATCTCCTAAGTAGAGAAAGGTTTCAGGATGTTTAATACCTTAGCATATATTATAAAATAGCATAACAAATATAATCCCCAAACCTGGATTAGACTTAGAATAATATGACTTATGTTGTTATGGTGATGGCACAAAATGGAAGAATTACTAAGTTCCAAATGAATTACTTGAGGAAAATTTGTATTAAACCCAAAGTAGGTAGAATAATAAGTAATGCAATGACAGTTAATGACAAAATAACTTTAAAAAAAATCTGGAATGAGCTAATGGGATTTAACATTTTAATAGCATCTAAGGTCATTTAGTCAGTAATAAAAATTGCAAAATAACTTTAAACACGATACCTCAGAAAAAGTGTTAGCAAGAAGTAAATTTATTAGGTAACTTTAAAATATCACAAGTAGATCTTAACATTAACACTTGTTAATTAATTAACATTAATTAAAATGGCATAAGTAATATGGACTCTATAGATAAGAGAACTTGAAAGATAGAGTACAGTTTGAGTATCCCTTATCCAAAAGGCTTGGGACCAGAAGTGTTTCTGACTGGGAATTTTTTCAGACTTTAGAATATTTGCACATTCATTATGAGATGTCTTGGGAATGGGGCCCAAGTTTAAACATGAAAGTTATTTATGTTTCATATATACCTTATAGACATAGCCCAAAGGTAATTTTACACATTATTTTAAAAACTTTTATGTATAAAACAAGTTGTTTAAAGTACTTATATGTGGAATTTTCCACTTGTGGTATCACATCAGTGCTCAAAATTTTTTAATTTTTGAGAATTTTGGATTTCGAATTTTCAGAGTAGGGATGCTAAACCTGAATGTTTATTTAGCCTGATGTGCAAAGCTTTCCAAGGAATTATTTTTATTACTCCACAACTCTAAATCAGTTTCTAGAAACTTTAAGAAAGTAATCTATTAACAATCTGTCTGGACATCCTTCTAGCCAGCTAGTCATTATCCACAACACTAAGGCAATCTTAAACAGGCTTGGCCATAAATGTTCTGTAATCTCACTATTACTATCTCTGGATATTTTCCAAATGCCATTTGTAGAAGATGTCCCCTCAAAAACAAAAAAGGATTACTTGATTTGCTTACAAGAAAGATGTACCTTAAGTAGCAAAAGTGTAAAAATATCATGAATGCATTACATTTCTACTAAGCGATAGGTTTCAAAGAGATTAATCAGAAAAAATACATAAAAGCAATATTTAATCAAGAATTGTAATTTATGTTTTTTTCTACTGGCTTGTTTTGATTGAGATCCATGTTGATTTTTTATTATGAAATATACTCTTGTAAATTAGTTTATAATAACAAAATAGTAAGGAAGGATGATAGAATAAGGTAGAAGTGGGAGTTAAAACATGTGAATATATATTTGTGTGACAAAATGCTTTTAAAGCAAAAGTTACTAGAAATAACTAACATATCTGCATACTTTACAAGCATGGCTTTTTGTTTAATGTAACAAATTAAAATCTCAAATAAAAGTGTATTCTAATGTGACATTAAAATTAAGTAATTATTTTATCTTAAAATCAGATAATAGGGACCTCCTACCATTACAAAATAATCTGTGAACAAAGATTGAACTATTGTACATCAATAGGAATGAACATTTGTCTATATTAAAAATATATTGTTAATCTAAATAAATATTGGTATTACGGTCAAATTTAGTGATAAAATGGGAACTGCACTTTAAAAATTCCTGGCTTATTGAACATTTCAAAAAACAATTTTCTTTAGTGGCATCTATTATGAATACCTTCTTAGTAGAACTGTTGTCTATGCTAATGATATAATAATATTGCTTTTCCCTGTTGATAGTAAGAACCCTCTGCCCACTGAATGTGCTGCACAAACGTATATTAAGTATTGCTCACTGTACATCAGCCTTAAAAATCAATTCTCTTCAGCTTCTTTGAATACTCCTTAATAAAGGAAAATAGGCAGTATAAAAATGATCTCAATATATTGACTCTATATTGACTCTATAGTGAATATCACTGAATATTTTAAAGTTATGAAATTAAGTACTCTAAGAAAGCCTCTGGGCACCTTCTGTCAGTTCTTTCTACTTCACTTTTGCTTGAAATTGATTTGTTATTAAAATTTAGACCAAACAGAGAGGTAAAAAGCTGAATAGTTGAATGTTATAGGCTTTGAGATTAGTATCTTTTAGTATAACAGCTGGTATTTTTTGCCTTGTTCAAAGAGGATTATATTGCATGTTAAGCCAAAGGTTGAAGAAATTCAAACTTCTCTATTCATTTGCAGGCAAGTATTTATGATGTCAGTATAGAAATCATATAGTCATACACATAGTAATGTGCCAGTAAATATTTAACAACAGGCTTGCCAGAAATAAGAGGTCCCAATTTGCAGTGTTTGCCAATTTCTGAGGCATAAATACTCCCACATGGCTGATTCAAGCTACCAAAATGACATAAATATACATGTTGGAAATCTGTACAGTAGAAATTATATAGTACTTCCACCATGTGAATCTAAAAGATGTAAATAATTTCACAAGTATAGATAATAGTAAAATAAATAGAAAATGTTTTGAATACTGATTATCCTTTTTAAAAGTAATTTATTTAATTATAAGTTGATATAATTTATTTTGATGTATTTGCTTAACTGCCAGTTCACGTAATTTCTGAAATTCTAAGAGTAATCAGATGGTGGCTCCTCCCTGTAATCCCAGTACTCTGGAAGCCCAAGGTGGGTGGATCACGAGGTTAAGAGATCGAGACCATCCCGGCCAACATGGTGAAACCCTGTCTTTACTAAAAAAATACAAAAATTAGCTGAGCATGGTGGCACACACCTGTAGTCCCTACTACTCAGGAGGCTGAGGCGGGAGAAACACTTGAACCTAGGAGGCGGACGATGCAGTGAGCGGAGATAGTGCCATTGCACTCCAGCTTGACAACAGAGCCAGACTCTGTCTCACAATAAATAAATAAATAAATAAATAAATAATCAGATATGAGCATACCACTCCAGCATAACACATCATAAGATCCAGAAAATCCAGAAACAAAGGTTGCCCTAGTGATATAACCCGTGTGAGACACAGAGATGGTATCTTCCAGTTTTTGTGTATGATATGGTTTGGCTGTGTCCCAACCCAAATCTCAGCTTTAATTGTAATAATCCCCACGTGTTAAGGAAGGGGCAGGTGGAAATAATTGAATCACGGGGGTTGTTTCGCCCATACTGTTCTTGTGGTGGTGAATAAGTCCTATGAGATCTGATGGTTTTTTAAATGAGAGTTTCACTGAACAAGCTCTTGTGCCTGCTGCCATGTAAGATGTGACTTTGCTCCTTCACTGACTTCCTCCATGATTGTGAGGCCTCTCCAGCTATATGGAACTGTGAGTCAGTTAAATCTCTTTCTTTTATAAATTACCTAGTCTCAGGTACATCTCTATTAGCAGTGTAAGAACACACTAATACAGTTTATAACAGCTGATGAGAACACATTACTGGAAGCCCCAAAAGTCTATGGCATTCATTTCCTTTATATTGCCTTTTTACTTCCTGATTCAATTCTAGACCCCAGTGGTAGCTGCTAGCATTATCAAAGTATTCAAAAAGCAAATATTAGCAATCATTATAATATAGAGACTATTCTAAATAATAATATTTTTCTCAAATTCCTTATTAACATCTCTGATCAATAAAGATAAATCTATTTAAAGACAATGGGATGTAATACAAAGTCACAAATTTCAGGCTGCTGCCCTGAAATTACACTTAGTAGAGTAAAATAATTTAAAATTTCTAATGCTTACTTCAAATGTCTATGAAGTAGTAAGATTCATGTGTATACTTTTTATAGAAATCCCTCAAATAAAATAACTATTGTAATTATAAAAATCAAACCAAAGCAAACTTGAATCCTAAAGAATGCCTGATTTCTGGGCACAAAGGTAAACGAATCCCATTATGCATTTTCCTGATTAGCTCACTGTTTCACTAAGTGAGCCTACGCTGTGGGGAGGGCAACTACATTCCCTAGGCAAAATCATTCAGACATTCAGATTGAATGTTACTGTAATTCAATTTTACTGAATTTTGATTATGATCAGAACAAAAATGACTAAGTAAACTACTTTTTTTGTATTATATAAACAAACCCCCATTATCACTGACGTGAAATACATTTAATAGGACTCTCAATAGCTTTATAATAGTATGTAATTATAACTTTAACGCTGATACCATTTCCCCTTACCTGACAAACAAGGGGAGGCCTGGGATCAATTTATTCTTAAGTATTTCATAAACTTATAACTTTAAAGCTAAAGAGTATATAAACCAGAACTTCAAAACATTCATTTGATATATAAGAATAGCTAAGCTCCAAGAGGAAACCTGACCCCTGCCCCAGGTCATGCAGTTAATTACTGACAGAGCAGGGTCTAACCACCTCTGCAGACTACATTGTCTACCAGCACTGAAGGACATCTTAGAGTAAACCATTACCTCTTGAAGAACTCTCTTCATCTTCAATAATAACGTCTTGACTGCTGTGCAGTCCTGTAACATCAGTCTGAATGGCAGAGAATCTATGCCTCCATTTTCTTCCGCACCTTGTAGGGGCCAATCTGCAGATGGACTGTTGGGCATTCGGCTGATGTGGGAATACCTGGCTTCTTGATCAATGTCCTTTGTTAACTTCAGGGAAAGATTCCTGACAAGAAAAAACGAAAAAAAATGAACCAAAATTACAGTGCAGCATGCTTAGAGCAGTATTTTCCAAATTGTTGATCAGTTTCTAGTATCCTAGAAAGTATTTCTTGTGTCCTCATTTCATGAGATTAGTTTCTTAAAATTTTCAAACCTTCTAGCAGAAATTATGAAATAGGTCAAATGTATATTTAGTGGTAAGATTCAATGAAAATTACTGTTTTAGGATATAATCTTTCTATTAAAAAATTATTTCCATTTTTAAAACCAAGAGACCTATCTAATAATGATAATTAATATCATAGTAACATAGTTCAGAATACCTATAAAAACAGTTGGCTTGTGCTTAACTTCAATATCATGTATATATTTGCAAATTATATAATTTTCTTATATTTTTTAATATTATACAATTTTCTGAATTATATGACAAGATACTTTAGCAACCTAAATAGAGAAGAAACAGATGACCTGCCACTTGCCACCAATTTCAGACAAAGATAGAGATAAGAAAATATATTTTTAATTAGTTTTATTCATGTGTGGTTATTCACAAACATGATAACTGAGTTTATAAATTACTAGATAATTAGTAAATGCCTTTTAAAATAATATTCAATTTTTTACTTATCTTCACAGGTAAGTTCAGTGGATATAGCTGCCCAGGGAAGGGGTAAGATAATAATTACTACCTCCATCTTATATTTATAATGAAATAATTTAAAAAATTAGGTTTAACATTTTTTGAGGGTTGACTATTGGCCTAATACTGTGCTAACTACTCCATATGTATGAATTCATTCAAACCTTGAACAAGTTCAAAAGGTAGATATAATAAAGTACAGATAAGTAAATTTTCCTGGAGTTAAAGAACTAGTAAGAAATGGACATAAAATGAACTAACCCTAAGATTTTTCAGCCTACTGACTACATACTGTACACATATATAATAATTGCTACTGTTTATATAGTTATTGAACCTCAGGAAGTCGTGTGATGACTTAATAGGTGTCAAATCATTTAATTCTCACAACAATTCTTTTAGGTTAGTGCTACTATTATCTCCATCTCCGAGTGGGTGATTTGAGTCAACAGAGGTTAAATAACTTGCTGATAGTCACACAGCTAATGAGGGACATTACTGAGGTTTGAATGCTGGCAATGCACACTTAGTGTTAAACCACTACAGTGCTGCATTTTGTGTGGAAAACAGTAAAACAAGCAAGCAAATGAACAAAACAGCATACTTAGAGTTATACTAAGAATCATTAACATTTTCACTTTAAAGTATATATTTTATCTGATACAATTGATTCAATTTAATTATATTATGACCAGTTTGCAGTGAACTATACAGTCATTCTTAAATGCTTCTGTTTAGTGTTAATACTTTCTATGGCTCTTTTCTCTAAGACCAATCAGAACAAAATCAAGTGTAAAAATTAGAAGTCATCGTAGATATTATTAAATTAGAATGGTACTTTAGCTATAATTGAATTTTTGAAGATGTATCATTTTTAAGTTGTGAATTTTAAGTCCTAATATATTTGGAATATATTAGGCTGACTCAGTAAACAGTTGTATAACTGAAATTGAATAGATAAATACAATAATGGGTGAATAAATAAAACATAATTTGTTGTAATCATCTATGCATACAACTCTCATTTATACAGAAAAAAATTTCTGTATTGTGAATTGTTATGAATTGCAGGGCTCCTGTCCATGGTTCGAAGTTTCCTGGCACAATTGCAATAAAATTTAAATTATATTTCTTTTTTTTTTTTTTTTTTTTGGGGGGGGGGGGACAGGGTTTCGCTCTTGTTACCCAGGCTGGAGTGCAATGGCGCGATCTCGGCTAACCGCATCCTCCGCCTCCTGGGTTCAGGCAATTCTCCCTGCCTCAGCCTCCTGAGTAGCTGGGATTATTTCTATAATTCCTGTTAGCTTGGTGACTCTTTAAAACTATCTGGCCAATCATGGATCTAAACATCCATGAAGACTGACACAACTTTCAGGAATAATTTTAGTGTGAAGTTCTAACGCTGTATTTCAGGGAATTTACTAAGGCTCTGGAGATTATAATTTAACATTTACAAATTTAAATATCTCTGCCATTTTCAAATAGTTAAGATAAGCCATGTACAGAAATACATTTTGAAGATAAAATTAGTCATTTTCATACTTCAATAATTTCAATCTATTTTTAAATCCCCAAAGGAAAAGATGATGGTATTATTTCCACAATTATTGAAAATATCCACATTTTGTTCAGTAGACCAGTGATGGCTAAAGTTGCAGAGATTAATAGGATTCGTCATTGACTTTAAGAGATTCACCACAATTATTAACTTAGTAGTAGTTGATACAAAAAAAACCAAAAATAACTAATATTCTTTCACATATGAGAAACAAATCAATTTATCTCAGAACATTTTATTTCCACATGAAAAAAAAGATCTGCCACAAGGCTATAGTAATCAAAACATTCTTAATTAGGCTGAAGCAGTTAGTGAAAGATCTATTAAATGGGGCTGCCACTCAGCTGCAAAGGTCAGCAGAACCATCCTGTTTTATGTTGATTGTCATTGTCTTTCCGATTGCTTGTAACCTATGGTTTACAGTTGTTAAATATTAATGTTTTGAACAATAGACATTGGGCAGAAAAATGCCCAAGCATCTCTGGGTAAGTTCACCTAAAATTATCCTTGTGGTTGACAGGAAAATGAAGAAAAATCTCTAATACTAAGCCATAATTTCCTCCAGTACAGACAACATATAATAAGGCTGGTAAGTTGAGAATAAGATTCAGGTGCTCTTCTGTTCTTATACATAGCAGGGTTCACTGGATAATACAATTCATGCACTTGGGGATATATAACTCTGTCTGCCAATTCTGAATTACTATAGTTTCAGGAAACTGAACAAATGTGCTTTATATCACCAAAGATAGTCCTTTAACTTGGCCCAAAAAAAGAGTTTCATACTGAAGCTGGATACAGTGGTTCATTAATCACCATAACTACTCCAAGCAAAAAACAAAGACAATGTAATCTCCACTGAACACATTTATATACGGTTCATCCTCTCTATGTCAACTTCATGAATCTTCAGTAAAATTGTTCAGTAATATTTACACATGCCTCATTGCTTATGAGTGCTAACCAAGTTTTTATAATTTAAGATTTAGTAACATTTAAAGTTTGAGACTTATAGATTTTTCTAAGTCCATAAGTATCAAAATAACACAGGTTTTGGATAAGATTAATAGCGAATCTCATAAATATTACATTAAGTGGACTACTGAATGATTAGAGGATTTGAGACTTTCAACTGATACCTAAACCATTTAAGTTAAACTACGATGATGAACTGGCTTTGCACTTTTCTCAATGAGATCCTTTGTGTGAAAGGAATTTCTTACCAAACTAGTTCAGAAATTCTCCTGTAATTCTCTTTTCAGTATGGCAGACAAGTTTAATGGGAAAATAGATACCTTGACACAAACTACAGGGTAACTGAAAGATTTTCCTTGCCTAAGAGAGAAAGTAAGAATATTTTTATGATTTTTTTCTCATTTAGCTATAACTAAGTAGTATCAGTAGGTAGTGAGGATTTCCTCTTGCCTACCAGTATTCTTCAAATCATTTGAAAGCTTCTTAATATAATGGCCCAAATGACTATCAAAATACAAGATCATGTCAGTTGCATAGCATTGATCCCATTATCTGTCATAGGAAACTTTCCTTATTTAGTGCAATGACATCTTTCATTATAGGGAATGTCTATGGCCAAAAGACATCTCAATGACTTACACTTTATAATGTAACTGTGATATCTGAACCAAATTTCCAAAGAAAAGAAAAGTAAGTAACCCTATTTGCCCAGTGTAATAAATAAGCATATGCACACAACTGCCTTCCAAAGCTTCATTAAGTAGAGTTGCAGAAAATAATAATTTTTTAAAATCCTAACTTAGAAAACTTACTGTTGTTTAGACCACATTTTAAAAAGGTCCAGGTTATTTATGGTGAGTTTTATCCTAGTTTGAATACCTCTAAGACCAGCACAATGAAATACATCTATATTAATGAACTGGCATTCCCAGAACTTAACAAAAACTATCGGTTTAAGGATCTAACTACAAAAAGGCTATTGATTATGAATAACTTATATTTTGCACATTTCCTTTCCAAATATATTGTTTGTCTGAGTGTGTCATTTTAGGAAAAGACTTGCATCTGAAATTGTTTTGTAACTGGATGTTGAGTCATATTTGCAGAAGAGATAAAATCAGCAGTTCTCTCTATTGGTGTGTATTGGTTATAAGAGCGTAACACTACGTTTAGATAAAAATGTACATGTGACAAGTTATTTCACCACTACCTGTGATATGGGGAAAAGCAACATAGAATTCAAATATCTTAATACAGCCAACAAGGTCTTTCATGGTCTAGAAATTGTTTCTCTCACAAAACCTCATCCCTTAACAGCTGCCTGTTTGCTCTTTGAATTCCAAACACATTGGCCTTCATTCAGGCCCTGAAATATGCCAAGTTCCATCCTGTCTCAGGGCCTTTGCATATGTTGTTCTAACTGCATAAAAAAAATAACCCTTACCCACCTTCAAATCTTCTCCTAAAAAACATCAGGTTTCCAGAGAAACCTCTACAGCTAGTACCCTACTCTGAAAAAAATACACAGGCACCTATTTTATATGGTAAGGCTTCATTTTAATGCTTACCACAGATGCATTTAAAAAACTAATTTGAGGGGACCTCTAAGAACACATTGGATTGAGCTGATCTACACTACACCTCATGTGCCAAATACAAAGAAATGCTAAATATTTTAAAACATATTATAGCGCAAAAGGAAAAGCCAGATGAAATTCCAAGTGCCAAGTGAAAGAAAGCAAAACAGAAACAATTACACAAATTGCCACTGTGGCAGTGTCCAGATATTGAACTTGCATGAGGTCTCTAAACACAGAGGCTGCAGCAA